CAAATATAATGGAGTTTGCAAAATAAAGTCAGATTTGTATTTTAATAACCCTAAAGTTGAGATATTACGGTTTGTTGTAAAAAAATCTCATTTTAGAGTAAAACCACAAAAATGTTAATATCTCAAGAAAAGTCAAGACAAAAACCTCGTTCTGTGGATACTGAACTAAGTTTTATTTAGTGAACCCACGATCGCAATATCGACATTTAACCCTGTTATCCTATGAAGCATCACCACTATAAAAACATACATGTTTGATCAAATTCTCTTCCATGAATGTTCTCTATCATTATTATTCGGCTATTCTTCGAGGCGGGGTTGAACAATTCCTTCCTAGCAAGGTAATAAATTACACTTTATTAGGTTTTGTGGTCCGCTTGACCAAATAAATTCTTTTCAATTAATTGAAGTGAGAGATAATCAATTGAGATAAAAAAGTCAGTGTCACAAGCGGGATTCGAACCTACGACCTTCGGCAAAAAGGAGGGAAAATTCAAAAGGTGGGGTTGATATGGGAAGTTAGTGTCCGAGTGGATCGAAGACGCGATAGCTGAAGTAGTAGAGCAGCGGCGTATTTAGCCGAAGGTCGTGTGTTCGAATCCCGCTTGTGACACTTACTTTTTTATTTCAACCAAAACCTTAATTAATTGAAACTAATAAATTACATTTACTCCATTAAATTAACATAAACACAACAACTGACACAAACATGGAATTCTGGTCACATTCAATTTTTAAAATTATTCGATATTTCTTGGGGCAGGGTTGAACACTCCATTCTCGCTAATAAGATACTTTTACTCTCCAGACGTCATACACTTACCCTAGAGTACTCAAAATTCCTTGGGGTTGAGTCACAAATCATTAAAAACAAGACATGACAAATTAAATTTTTATGTGTCATAAGAAAGTAGTAGAAGCATTTAATTGAAATTCGATGGATAAAAGTTATAAAAAACAAAGCTTACAGTAAACTGGAAAAAAATTATTCTCTCTTTAGATAGATAATAAGAGATATTTAATATTTTTAAAAGTAAGAATTTACTACTTTATTTAATATTAATCAAAATATTAATTTTTAAAATGTGTAAAGTTTTTCGTTTTGCAAATCCTAATGAATTTTATTGCGGTTTTAAATAAATTGAATAATGTATTTTTTAAATTAATGTATGCAATAAATAACCAACCAAAGCTTCTGTAATGAATGTACATCTCGGTTGCAGTAATAAGGCTTAAAGAGGAAAAATAATCCTATCTGGCAGGGCTGAATTAGTCATTGCGAAAAGAGCCGTTAGCAGGATTAACTTAAGCAGGTTTCAGTTTAAAAATAGTCACGTTTCGGGGATATGAATTTTTGTTCAAAATATGCCGACTCTCCGGTCCAAACGTTGTATAATAACTTAACGTAGGAGAATCAAGGTAGTCGAGGGCGGGGGGACATGACATAATAATGCCTGATTCGGCTGGAGGTTCAATTTTCTTTTAGGCTAAATGAAAGCAATTTGGCTTCCACTCTTAAAACGTAGGAATTTATGTTGATTGATGGAGGCTTTAGTTAAGGCTTCCTCGGGCATATTAACAGGAGAGAATTAGGCCGGCCGACCTCAGGGGGTCCTACCTTTACTACGGCATAAATTTCAATAAACCCTTTCCCTCCTCTAGGCCAAAACCTAAATATGTTTTCCGGTTAACGGCCTAACTCTTGATATTGATCAAACCATCCAACAGGGTGTTGCAAATTGGATACCCACGTTTTCAAAATTTTATACGGTATAAAAGTTGAACCGATGACCAATTTCAGTTAAGAAAAAATAACAATAATAATCCATTTAAGTTTTAGTGGTCAATTGACCAGGTTACTTCTTTCAATTAATTAATCTTTCTATGTAATGTCTTGGTTGAGATAAAAAAGTCAGTGTCACGAGCGGGATTCGAACCCACGATCTTCGGCTCAATACGCCGCTGCTCTACTCTCTTGAGCCGAAGGTCGTTGGTTCGGATCCTGATCGTGACACTAACTTTTTCATTTTAACCAAAACCTTCTATCTTAGGCTAGCTATATACCTTGTGAGTGCTATAAAGCTCTGACTCCGAACATTCACTCATAAACTTATCGATCCTATATAATATCCTATATATCATAAACTTATCCAAAGCTTAATTAATTTATCCTTTTAAAATACTTAATTTGGAGAGCCAACTGTTTGCACAAACCCATTTAAAATTATGAAAAAAATTTCTGTTCTTCAATTAGAATTAAGTATTTTTGTTCCATAATTTAAACATTTCCTATAATCTTGTATGATCAATAACAATAAAAGTAATGGAGTCAGACTAGCTCTCCATCTCAACCTCCATCTGTTCGAATTTTTCTTCTTTTTGCCATATGCAAACATTCCAGGTTGAGATGGAGAGTTGGTGTCCGAGAGAATCGAAATCTCTATAGCTCAAATGGTGGAGTAGCGGCGTATTTAGCCGAAGGTCGTGGGTTCGAATCCCGCTCGTGACACTGATTTTTTATCTCAACCAAGACATTACATAGAAAGAATAATAATAGAAATGTTAATTCTTTGCTACGGATTATTTTCATTCTCTTCCATCATCTATTTATAATGCTTTCTTTGGCTAATTAATATAATTTTTTTGAATCCATGAATTAATAGTGATTACTAATAGATCATGAGTGGCAATGCTACAAGAAGTTTACAAATTACCTTTCTGCAATTTTTTTCAAGCCGAGAGGAGCAAAGGAAGAGACAACTTTCGCCAATTTTCAATAGACCGATTGAATCTCTTGAACCGAGAATGATCCTTGGCAGGTGTTCCACTTGTTGCATGTTCAGAAATAAAAAATAGATTTTCAATACGATTTTAAATTCTATTCCCTCGGACAGTAACGATAACTTTTGCTTCTTATATTAGTATAAGTAAGTCAACCTTTCCCAATCGAGATATACATATAAATAATAATATATTTTAAATAAAGAAAAAAATAATATAAGAAACTAATGACATTTAAGAGATGACAGATTTCAGTATAGGCTAAATGTATATATGTTTTTCAAATTTCTGCTATTTATTTAATATTTCAAGAAACTTTTCATACTTATAGGGGCCAATTAGTACTAAAGTACTTAGCTGATGAGTTTTATAAATATGAATGTAATTTGATTATTAAATTTTGAAACAATAAATAAAAGTAGTGATTATTTGGAAATCATGAGATGCGTTCTGGTGTGAAGGTTTAGAAAAAATTTTCTTTATCGTGCCACCGTTTCGACCTTTATTGAGATCATCTTCACGATCTGGGATTTGTTAACATTGTTTAAATTTTACAAATAAATTTAGGATGTGAGAAAAAATGAATTTATACGATGCTAGAAATTTTAGATCCAATCAAAGTATTTGTACTCACTCAAAGTGTTTGTTTTCTGTGTAGATGCGTCATTCTAGTGTGTCGAGTTGAGAGTGCCAGTGAGATATTGATGTTTAATCTATTTACCTATCTATACCTGTCTATACCTATCTATTTATTTATTTATTCTTAGAGTGTCGATACATGTGAGTTCATGTGCATATGTATGCAATAACCTATTTATCAGTGAATGTATGTACATATTTATTTATTATCAAATTTATTATCTATTTATCATCTAATTTATTATCTTATTATCTAAGTTATTATCTAATTAAATATTTATTATATTTATTTATACTACTTATTCATCCTATTATTTTACTTTTTAAATAATACATATAATGTTTATACTTAATTTATAAATATGTATATATAAGTTATTTAAATTTGTTGTCTCTCAGAAAGGTGATTCTCACTTAAAGTAGTTTTAAATTGTTCACATAATTTAAAATCATTACTATGAATCAAAAGTGACAGCGGGTTATTCTTATAATCAGTTTTCCCCCGCTAAACGCAGTAACAGGCTAAAAAATACAAAATGATTACAATATTAAGGTTGTAGAAGGTTATAAAGCCCAGTTCGTTCGCACTTCTAACGCAAATGTAAAAAGAGTCAGGTTGCAATCTGCACATATGTAAATATTTGGTCAAATATACTAGTTTTTCTTCTTCTTCTTCTTCTAGAGGTTCGTACTTTTTAAAAGTTTATATTTGATTACAGTTCGGTTTTTTATATGAAAGCTTCTGGAAATCAATTTTTAACAAACTACAAACTTTATGTATATATAGATCTTTTAAAAACGTTTTAGTTTTCTTCCTGTCAACATCTTATCTAAGGAACTTTTTGAAAAATAAGTTTTAATCTATCCAGGTTTATCACTAACACGGCATTTTCTATAACTATTTACAGCAAGTTAAATCGTAAACAACTTAAAGTGTGTATATTTATTTATTATTTGTAAATCATGAGATGCGGTCTGGTGTGACGTAGGTTTTAGAAAAACATTTTCTTTATCGTGCCAACGTTTCGACCTTTTTTTAGAACATCTTCAGCGCCTGGGATTTGTAAACATTGTTTAAATTTTACAAATACATGTAGGATGTGAGAAAAAATGAATTTATACTTTGCTAGAAATTTTAGATCCAATCAAAGTATTTGTACTCACTCAAAGTATTTGTTTTCTGTGCAGATGTGTCATTCTGGTGTGTCGAGTTGAGAGTGCCAGTGAGATATTGATGTTTTATGTTTATATACGTTGGATTTTTAAGGAGTAGGGAAAGAAATAGGAATATTATTCCATTTTCTATGATGAGTCGGCTTCTTTGAAGTGAAAGGAGCCGACAATGGGAAAAAATGGGTAATTGTTTGACGTTGTTATCCTTTGAGGGTTACATATACTGAGACAATTAGGGAAAGGAAAGCCAAATTGTTGAATAATAAGACTATGTAGAAATGTTTGTTTTATATGTTCTATTATATATTTTGTGTGATGTGATGATGATATATGTATGTTATCGATATCGAATTTGATTAATGATATTAGCGTAGCTGCAGCTGAGTTTACATGTGTCTGTTCTGTAGTTGACGATGCGTTTATCAGTTGATGTAAAACATTTCTAAACAGTTAAGTTTATGTTTGTTTTGTTCTGTGTGTAATATTTTTGGATAGTTGAAGTTGAAAATCTGTTGGTGTTGAAAATGGTGGGTAGCCAGTAAAGTCCGATTTTGTTTGGTATTTTTGCAATCATAGATATGTTGCTTTACCCTCTTATCCAGATATTGGGATGTAAGACCGATGTAAGTTGGACATTCATTCCTGACTAAGTACGCTATTAACAGCAGTTCCCACAGATCAAATTTAAACTACATTAGATATACTAAACTGCTCTCACCCACGCCTACAATTTACATATGAAATCGAAAACAACAAACAACATTCCACACATAAAACATTTCTACATAGTCTAATTTTTCAACAATTTGTCTTTCCTTTCGTTAATTATCCCCGTCTATATAATCCTGAAAGGATAATCAGGCCGAACCATTACCCATTTTTTCCCATGGTCGGTCCCTTTCACCTCAAAGAAGCCGAAACTTCATATAAAAATGGATTTCTATTTTTACTTCCTTCCCCACCCTTTAAAAAACGTATATAAACATAAAACAATAATTTCCCACTGGCATTCTCAAAATGACACACAGTCAGAAAACAATGGCTCTGAGTTAGTACAAATACTTAGAGTCTCAAATTTCTATCATTGTATAAATTCATATTTTCACATCCTATATGTATTTGTAAAATTTAAACAATGTTTATAAATTCCAGATTCTGAAGATGATCTCAATAATGAGGGAAACGGTGGAACGATAAAGAAAATGTTTTTCTAAACCTACGTCACACCAGACCAAATAATCGAGAAAAAAATTGAACAATTTATTTAGAACGGTAGTTCATAGTCTTTATACGATTTATAATGGAAAGTCAATTTGCGTTCTTAACTTTCAAACGTTTCTTACAAAAATTTTGAGCGAAGAGAAAAACGGTCAACCTATTTTTTGTTTATGTTCTGTACAGTGGGTGAGCAAACTTCGTCTAAGATTCCACTAACAGCTCAAACGGGTTAACAAGGATTGTACATCGGACGTCATTAAGGAAGAAGAAATCCTCACAGTAAATAGTTTCTGTTTAAACTTCGAGTTTGTCTTGGAGACAGCTTAGGTATGATTTTGTTTGTTCTACATTCTGCCTTGTTTGCTCGACCTCGCAGGGGCCGCTCTTCTGTTTACTCCCTGGGGGGTCGATCTATATTTTATAGGATTCATTTGTCCTGAGCCTGTCTGCCTCGTCCGGCCGCCTTTTTTCTTCCTTTTACCCAATAAATTTATTAAAACTTTCTTATTAATTTTATTTATATAATTACGTCTTTATTATCGGTTGAAAAAAGTTAGCTTTTAACTTGTCATAACTTGCAAAAATCACCTTACTGTTTATGGGACGGTACTACCTACAACAGGACACTTTGTATTAACTTAGAGTAAATTGGTTATCTAAAAATATAGTTATTTTATTAACAATCTTTTTTTGTTTAATTCAAAAGGATTCATTCGACTTTATATCGTATCTAACTATTTACATTTATGCATGCTGTTAGGCACTACATAGCCATTTATGAATATTCCTTCTGGGTGCTAAAAGGTGCTTTATTAATCAAACGGTAAAGTTCAATAACGTTACTGTGAAATTCAAATATTTGTGGGTGAATAAGGTAAACTATATACAAGCATCGTCTTTATTAATATAGGCCAAGTTATGTTAGTTATGACCCTGGAACCTTAATGGGACTTTGTCTTCTTGCGGTCTAACGGTTCCTGAACATCGATAGAATTTGCTTCGTATATGTAAATATGTAAATTTGAACACGGTCGTTTGTAATCTTCAACGAGGTATTTTAAATCATTTCACATACTTTGCAATTTCCAAACTGGTGGGTTTGGGTTTATGACAAAAACGAAATAAATGAGATTGATCAAACAGGATAAAAGGACTATGATATTCCCAATGACATTGACTGTCTTTTCATCATTTTCGGTGTTAAAATATCGATAGAAACTCTAGAGAGTAAAAACTAGAGCGAGGATAGGCGGGCCAGGACGATAGAAAACATACAAAACATATTCACTACTTTTCGTGGTCCGCTTGACCAAATAATATCTCTCAATTAATTAATCTGTATTTAAGATATTAGTAGAGATAAAAAAGTCATGTCACAAGCGGGATTCGAGCCCACGATCTTCGGCTAAATACGCAGCTGCTCAACCACTTGAGCTATCGTGACTTCGATCCACACGGACACCAACTTCCCACCTCAACCTCACTATTGAACCACTAAAGCTCTCCGTTGTCATTTTATTTGTCTCCGAGAATCAAATAGATTACACGAAATTTGAAAAATAGCAAAAAGGAGGGAAAATTCGAAAGGTGAGTTGAGCTGGGAAGTTGGTGTCCGAGTGGAGCGAAGTCACGATAACTCAAGTGGTAGAGCAGCGGCGTATTTCGCCGAAGATCGTTGGTTCGAATCCCGCTTGTGACACTGACTGTTTTATCTCAACCAATACCTCAAATACAGATTAATTAATTGAAAGATACAAAATATATATCTATACACCGAGATATCAACAAATAATGTTACGATTTAAACATAAATTTGTATATTATATATTATATTTAAAAAATATATTTTTCATCAAAAACAACAGTTTTTTGTAGTTGAATCGTTGCAGTTCATTGTGGTATGACAACCATTGTCAGTTTTGACCTATCATGTGGTTTCCCAATGTTTGCGTGAAGGGTTGTCAGGTGAATAAGTAGGGTGGGGCGACGATACAAAACCCTGCAAGTGGTGAAAAGAGGACCAAGACAATCAGTAACGTAAACTGTAAGTCCACGACCCCCAGAAATCAACCCGGAATGTCACAATTGAACAATAAATTGATATATTCCATATTAAAATATAGTACTTTTTTATTATGCAAAATATTTGAAATTTCATAGTTTCCGTTCAATTTCTGATGTTCATTGTCTGTCTATCCTTGACCGTATTCCTGATTTTGCCTGTCATATTCGACACTACGTTATCAATATTTCAATGTTGAGAATAAGCAGAGGAGGATGCAAAATCTAAATGTGGTAAAACGTCAAAATCCGTCAGGCCGATCAGACAGACTAAACGTGCCACGCGAGGATAGACGGACCACGATGATCGAAATGAGGAACATTCAAGACTGTACACTGGCAGACTTCTACGCGGAATCTAAAAATTGAACAGTAATGCATTCTTCAAATACTCAGCTAGATTTTTAAACTACAATTACCAAACATTACGATATAATGATTGGACATTAGGGTTATCGGTGTATAAATTGGTTTAAACTAACGCTCAGATGGCTCTGACAGAACAAAACAGCCAGACTAAGTAGTCCGAAATTATGGTAAATTACCAAGAAATAAATCGGAATGTAGTAAATTCCATGAACATTTCTTATATCCAAAATATATTTTACAATTAAAAAATTAAAATTTAGCAAAGAAAACGTACACTATATATAATAATTTTAAGTGAGGCGGATATTAGTCGTACTACCCTTGGAATACATACCTGTGGTTAATCCATTATAGAAAGAAACAGGAAGCTTTGGACCTCCTGTCATAACGTTTAAAATATCTCATTCTGCAGTTTAATATTAACATGAACCCTTTTGATTTCGTGGTCCGATTGACCAAATAATTTCTTTCAATTAATTAGTCTTTATGTATGGTTATTGGTTGAAAAAAAATTCAGTGTCACTAGCGGGATTCGAACCCACGACCTTCGGCTAAATACGCCGCTGCTCTACCACTTGAGCTATCGTGACTTCGATCGGACACCAACTTTCCAACTCACCCCATCTTTCGAATTTTCCCTCCTTTCTGCCATTTTTCGATATTTTACCAAATCCGAAAGTGGTAGAGCAGCGGCGAGTATAGCCGAAGGTCGTGGGTTCGAATCCTGCTCGTGTCACTGATTTTTTTATCCCAACCAAGACCTTACATAAATATTAACATAAACATTGTCCGGTTCATTGATGTTTGATTTGCATTGCATGACGAAAATTTAAAATTAAAAGGAATACTTCGTATTTTCCACCAGCATACGTTTATGTAGTTTTGTAAGAAAAGAGTGGAAAAGTTAATTCTGAATGAAGGGGCAGCCCCTAGCATTGTTTCCTTTCTAAGTGCCTGAATTATTCTTATAAAAAAGAAGTAAACTGCATAATGACCTCCTTTATCCTTTGTGACTCCCGTTAAAGTTTTTTTTTACTGCAATGAGTTTAAATTTCGAATAATTTAAAACTTTTCCGCCTTATGAATCTTTTTTTCCTGCCGAGTTGCAAAGATCTGGAATCCTTTTTGTAAAAATTCTGCGGCCTCATGATTTGAGTTATCGAGGACGAATTGCTGAGGGTGATTTAGACCATTTTAACACGGTCACGTCGAACACCGTTTTAACATTAATGGTACAACTTCCGAAGAATGGGTTTGCGATGCAGTAGAAATTCGGAAATGGAAGTTTAGAAGGTTAATTCTTGAATGACTATCAAAGATAACTTCCATATCGTTTTCGTACGTGTTCTGAATAACTGCGGCTGGAAAGATTTAATGTGAAACTTGTAAGCTAAGGCGTTGTCAGAACCAGCTGCACTCTCCAACTTGAAATATATTTTATAGGGGCTTATTCTACTGGTGGACTTCTTCCTATTAGAAACCACTACAACACCTTTGTTTTTTCAAACATGAGAAATAATTTTTCTATGAAGAGCACAGTGAAAAAACACATATTAAACTAGAACTAGTTGATTGTTGTTTTGTAATAATAATTCAACTTAGAAACTTTACTTATACACTGTCTTAATTAAACAATACTCAAGGGAGTAAAAGTTGGGGAGAAGTGGAAATTGCAGGTTTTCAACTGTAATTTTGTTTTCAACATCTTCTGAATGTGGTTTGAATAAACCTATGAATATGCCTTTTTTTAAATGATTTGATTATATTAAAAAAAATTAAATTTGTTGTACCTTGTTCACCTCCCCGAGATGCAATATGTAAAAACATTTTTTATTATTCTTATTTTTTCTTTCACTTATAAATATAATTTTTTATATTTTTGTTGTCGCCAGGTTGATTTTTGAAAAAAGTCACGTTATCTGAACCGGTTTTGAAATGGTCATTGGCATTTCCATACAATCGAATTAAATTAACGAATCCGCTAATTAAATAGTTAACATTTGAAAATAAAAATGTGTACTTGAAAAATACTCGTCTTTACCGTAATGTTCAGGAGAGCTTATGGTTTAAAATTTTTATTTAAGCCATTTATATTTTAGTGGTCAATTGTCTAAGTTTCTTCTTTTAATTAATTATTATTTTTTATGTAAGGTTTTTGATTGAGATAAAATTATTGCATTCAAAATGGCAAAAAGTGGGAAAATTCGAACAGTTTTAGGTTGTGGTGGGGAGTTGGTGTCCGAGAGGATCGAAGTCACTATAACTCAAGTGGTTGAGCAGCGGCGTATTTAACGGAAGGTTATGGGTTCGAATCCCGCTAGTGACACTGACTTTTATTCAAGGTTGAGTAGTTTTTGGAAAAAATTGGGAGACAGTAGCAATCCGAAAACTGTTTATCTTAATAAATCGATTTTCAAATGGGTCTCACCATTTTTCAAAAAATTTGACTGAATTGATGAATTTGCAAATGAAAATGAGAGCTACTATTTGAAAAACAACAATTTGGTTTTTTACTTTTTAGAAAAAATTGAAAAACAAAATTTTTAAATTAAATATTTATTATTGCAATTTTTCAAAATAGAATTTATGATTAAAAAAACAACTTACATTGTGTTTTCTAGGCTGAAGCGTTTTTAGTAGTAATTAGACACCCTAAATTTCGGTCGTCTTACAGAATTAATAATAAAAAAAAACTAAATACAAAGTTTAACAAATAGTATTACTTTTATATTTACGTAAAAAAAGCAAGTTCAAATGTACCACCAATAAAAAAAATACTGATAAAATAAACTAAACTTTAGTTTTTCTTAATATTAAAATATTCTTTTAATAATTTATATGTAGGTTAAAAAATCTAAACCTTAAAGTTGAAGAAAGAAAATAAACATAATCTGAAAAATCAACAAAACATTTCAGGTTTATCTCAAAACTTGATCAACCAACGAATACCGAAATTGTGATGTTAATGCTGTATCAATTTATTTTATTATTTTATTAAATTTTTATAGAATTTAATAAAGTCAAACCATATTTTATGGAAAATATTAATATCAAGTATAATAGAATGAAAAATAAAATCGCACATTCATTTAACAATTTATTTCTAAACTTAAGGTTTTAACTAATTTCGTATCTATTGATTTAAATGCTAACTGTTAATAATTGATGTCTTATATGGACCTCCGCTATTCAGTACATGAATTGATCTGAATCAATATATTTGCACTCAAAGAATATTTATCATCCTGTAAGATTCATGCAAGAGAATATGCTGGCTAATGCATTGCGGTAATCCCTACATCCTCCAAATAATGAGTGACAATTCGCGCTACACGCTGTCCAGCATGGTCATGCATTAACTCGACGTTGTCCCAAAAAAATGGGCCAAATGGGACTCCAGTTTTCAAAAGAAATTTTTAAATGTACGTTCGTCCAAGATCCATTTAGTATGATAAGTTCCCTACGATGATTCCACTCTGTGTCATAACGACGCCTAGTACATGAAGTAAAATTTCTCCACTTCTTCTCACCCAGTCCAGGACATCTGAGTGCTACAAGACAAACCCGCACTCATCTCTGAAGAAAAAACCCCACCCATTGTTCAAGTATCCAAGCGAGATGATGATTTGCGTATTGCCTCCTTTCTACTTTATGCCTCGCCAGTAATAGAGAAACGACGCGGGACGTCGAGAGACTAGGCTATTCGCAAGAAGCGTTCTGCTGACTGTTTTAAAGCTTCCTCTTATATTACGGACTTTAGAGTTGACTATCCATCAAAGAAACCGTTAAATGAGGGTTCCGTTTGCGGTAAGAGGTATAAAACTATCGTCTCTAATCGTCGTAACCTTCTCTTAGATCGAGACATCCGGTGGCCCTAAACCGCTGCAGACGGTCTTAGCCCGTAGGGCGAGAACACAACAGGAATTGCGCTAAGTAATAGACGAAACGTCTGTCGTTTGCCTAAACATCTGCCTGGTGCACGTTTTCTCAACCTAAAACCATGCTTGTAAGAAACAATAATAATTTATTTACTTAAATGTTTCATTAAAAAAACGATTTAAAAAAACCAATTAATTCAGTCGATAAATAGACTGTGGATAGGATGAAATTCAAGTGATTTTATTTATTTTCTAAAGAGTGTGAACTTATTAGTAACACTCTACACATTCTTTTGGTTGTTATCAGGGTTCTGGTCAAACAAAATATTTTTAATTTTAAATCTTTGCCTAGCTTTCGGATCCTTCTCTAAAAAGAACAAGTGATACATTTAAATTTTGGCCAATTTAACATCAAATATATATAATTAGACGAAACACATTTTTGTACTTACTGATTTTTTGTCAGAAGCATATAAACTCAAATTCTTTTATTTTCATGTTAACACTGAATTTTTTTTTAAGATTCTAACCATATTAACTCAATCTTGTAAAAAAACTATATATTGATTTTGGTAGTGGTAATTTCAATAGCTAAATTTGTTATTAGTAAGTTTCAATTAATTAAGGTTTTTAGTTGAGATAAATAAGTCAGTGTCGTGAACGGGATTTGAACCAAGACATTCTGCTCAATACGCCACTACTCTAACCTCTTGAGCAGCGGCGTATTGAGCCAAAGGTCGTTGGTTCGAATCATGCT